CTTTCTCCCTCCCTCCCTCACTCCCTCCCTCCCTCCCCTTCCTCCCCTCCGCCCCCCTCGCTCACCAACAAGCCTCTGCACAGACCCTCTCCGCCAGAAGGCGGGGTAACGTCGGCAGACACGTCCCCCACACGAACCCGCACCAGGCGAGGGGACCATATAACGCCCCCCTCATACCCCCACACCCCAGCCCGTGGCGACGCCGCCGCCTTCTGTCTCGCTGCTCTTGTTGTCGCTGCCCCCGGCAGCGGGAATGCCGGCGGCGGCCCGTGATCACCGAAGGTGTCTCGAACGTGCTCCAGGTAGGACCTTTCGAGATTCACCACCACCCGAGATAAAGGACGGGGGGTCTAGGTTACGGGACGTTGAGTGTAGGAACAGGGTTACCTACATGGACTATTTAGCAGGGTCTAGAGTCAGACGGAACGTTGAAAGAAGGAACAAGGTTTTTACCTACAATGAGCAAAGGATTGGCCTTCGAGAACGAAAACGTTGAATGTAGGAACAGGGTTGCCTACATGGACTAAGGAGGGTCTTGAGTCATACGGAACGTTGAAAGAGGGAACAGGGGCCTTCCGAGAACGTACACGGACATTTAGGATGGTAGACAAAGAAGACAAGCTCAAGTGTGAATGCGGCTCAGCGTGCAAAGGCCGGGTGCATGTTGTTGCAGATTGTCCGCTTTACTTGAGACACGAGACAGAGAGAAATGTACATGACTGCGCTGGGAAAAATAGAAGGGAAAAACAAAAGTGACAGTAGTGGCTTTATTGGGGCATGGCCTAATAAGGCGACAAGCGATATCGAGCGGAACACCAAACACATTTCTTGAGAAACCTTTGGCAAAGGAAGGAGGAACGATTGGTCATTGGCGAACCGGTCCTGTGGGAACAATGCTCCGTCCTCCCGACGCGTGGTCTAACACCTAAGGCATGCAAACCACGAGGGCACCCCCCGCGCCTGGTGATTTACTGATTTACTAGCCTGGTCCGGTGAAAACCCGGCGTGCTCCGCCCCGGTTTTGTAGGGACGCGAGGTCAATGGTCGAACAACTAAGCCACGCACGGCCACGGCCATGAGTGCACCCCCCACCTTGCGTCCTCCTCGTCCCCTTCCCGTTCAACCGCCGCTGCTTCCGCCGCCGCCGCCGCCGCCGCCACCTCCGCATCATCAGCACCCTCGTCTTCTCCCGCGCCCGCCGCCCTGCTACCGTTCCGACTGCTGCGGCTGCCGGCCGTGCGCCTCCGCAACAGGAGCGCCCTGCGGAACACCCGAGCCGCAAGCTGCCTCGACCAGACGGGGTGCATGGCCTCGAACCACGCCTCTAGGGGCTCGTCCGCGATCTCAAAGGCTACCCCCCGGGCGCGGAGCCAGACGTGGACCCCCCACGCCCTGCGCTTCCCCCGGCGTCGCGTGGTGGTGCCGAGAGGGATGGTGGCGGGTTGAAGAGGAATAATGGTGGGATAGCGAGAGTACGGGGTAGGGGTTGGGGAGAGGGATAGAAAGGGAGAAGGGGGTCGGGATAGCGTTTAATGGGGGGAATGGGGTCGGGGAGGGTAAAGAACTGGCCCAAATCGACCGGCATGGCTAACGGTGGTGCGCATGAACACACACCCCTACCCCAAGACCCACCAACACGCGCGCAGCAGCGAAACCACAGCGTGGCTCGCAACCTGACACCCTGCGATAGCCAATCTTGCAGGACCCTCGCCAAGCGGAGCCCAAGCGAACGATGCCCTACCATCTACGCCTGCCTTCCTGTCGTAGCAACTCCTTTTCTCTTCTTCAACGATGACGGTGGAATTCTCTTTTTCAACGATGACGGTGGAACTCTCTTCTTCAACGATGACGGTGGGAATCTCTACTTCAACGATGACGGTGGAACTGTGCGCGTAAACAGATCCCCGATCCCCGCCCCCACCCTTGCCTGTCCTGTGGCCGCGCAGAAGACGCCACGAAAGCCTCCTCAGGCATCGGGGGTTTCCAAAACAGCCGGTGGAAGTCGTCGCAGGGGCCGCCCCTCAAGGGATGCCACCTGTCTCACCAGCGACCGAACAACGCACACACGACCAGGGGGGGGGGGGGGATCAAGCTGCTGGTGGACGGTGTG